AATTTGAGGGAAAAGAGTTTAGAGTTTTGGGGGGAAGGAAGTTGTTGCAGAACTTCTTCCCTTTATATTATTAATTTTTATAATTAACATTTATATGTATAAAAAAAGTTTTTTTAGAGAGCTTTTGAAGGAAAGGAGTTGAAATTTTTTCTACCCCTAATTATAAGTAATAAATTGATTTTTTTTTTCTTTGATCTTAATTATAAGTAATAATTATTAATTTTTAAAATTATTTAGAGTTGAATTTCTTTATATCTTTCATTTATTTTTTACTCTATTTATTATGCATTCACTTATACTTAATTAATATTAAATATGTCAATCATTTAAATTAAAAGGTATATTTAAAATAAAATTTGAATTTATTATAGGATTAATTAAAAATAACCGTATTACTTACTTTTTTTGTCTTGATAATTTGTATTATGTTGTTTATAATTATGACTAAATGTAATATTACATTAACAATTTTGTAGTTTCTTTTTATCTATAAAAATTATAATAAGAATGATAGATTTTGAACATGAGAATTGTGCATAATATTCCGATCTCTACCAGTAACAATGTATTTGATTTATCGTTAAAAATTCTTAAACGGACATTGAAGGTGAAAGTAACAACTTGTCATTTTATAAAATTAATTTTCAGAACATGTGTCAATTACTAAAAATGAATTTAAAAAGAAGTTTAGAAAAGTAAAAGTGAAAGAAGAAGAAATGGATAAATAAAGTCACAGAGGCATAGGGGGCATTTGAGAAGAGAAAAAGAAAATATCTGTGTGGAATTTGGTTGAAGCGGCGTGCCACGAAAACCCTCCACTTGTTTGTTATGTTCAATAATACCCCTTATCCTCTTTCTCTATCTCTGCGTTGTGTTGTGAATTGTGATGTGCTAAACTCAAACTCTCACAGCCATCAACCTGACCATGCGTGCTTTCAAGTCTCTCACAAATACAATGGCAGAGTCGTGCCTTCTTTCTCTCCCTTCCTTCTTCCACGCCAAAGCCAAATCCCTTTCTCTCTCACTTCCCTCCAAGCCCCTTACCCTCCACCTTCCCTCTTCCAATTCCTCGCTCTTCTCCCTCACCTCAAGGCCCACTCGCCACTCCTTCCTCACATTCGTGGCCCAAACGTCGGATTGGGCCCAAGGCGAGGAGGAGGAAACCGCCTGGGAGAACCAGGGCGATTCCACGTGGGGAACTGAAGAGGGTGGCGATGAAAGCGAGGGTGAGGCGGCTGAACCCGTTGAAGAAGTTAAGATCTTTGTTGGGAATTTGCCTTTTGATGTTGACAGTGAGAAGTTGGCATCGCTTTTCGACCAAGCTGGCACCGTTGAGGTTGCTGAGGTCAGTGAATTCTTCTCATAATCTTTTTTTTTTTTTAAGGTTTGTTTGAGGATGTTTGGTTTTTTTTTTTTTTTTTTTTTGAAATTTGAAAGTGGTTGTGGTTTTTCAGGTTATTTACAATAGGGTCACTGACCGGAGTCGTGGGTTTGGGTTTGTTACGATGAGCACGCTTGAAGAGGTTGAGAAGGCTGTCGAGATGTTCAGTGGCTATGTAAGTTGTTGCTTTGTTGAGTGAGAAGAAGGGTTGTGGTTGTGCTCGAGTGGAAAACTGTGTTGTCATTGTGTTTGGATTTGGATGTTTATTGACTGATTGGAACTAAATTGTTATGCCATTGTTTGGATAATTTTGTCATGGAACTGGACAAGTGCTTGCAGTTTTGTCGCCATACTTGATATTGTGGAAATTACAGACAAATGCAGCTGAGGAGACCCATAAACCTTGACGGTGAAACCAAAATTGTGTTTTTTACAACCTTGGACCAGTAAAAAAAATGGTCCAAATTGAAGGAAAAGAAAAAAAGAGTGGTATGGGATGTGTGCCATCTTGTTCTACTCCATTCCGTCATTTATTAAACAATCCAAACAATGGAACTTAGGATCATTCCGTTCCATTCTGATCCAATGTGACCTGGTGATATTACTCCAATGAATAAAATGTGTTTAATTTTTAGTTCCTGCACTTTAAAAACGATAGTTTTGGTCCTCGTATGTTTTCATGATTGTTGAACTTTTCATCCCACACTCTAGTATCCTAAGCTCCATAAAGAGTGGTGAAATTTACCTATTATAAAAAGTACGAGGATCAAAATTAACATTTTTAAAATATAGGCACTAAGACAAATTTTGACCAAAATTGAGAGACCTAATGCACATTTACCCTATTCTAATTTCCAATGAAAATCCTAGTGTAAACAATTGTGTCCTGGGTTGTCAAATTATTAATCCCAAGTCCTAACTAACTTCTCTCTCCCACCCACCACCCCCAACTAAAAGAAAACTTGGGGACAAACTATAATTAGTATATTTGCTTCTCTTTGATTATCGTCAAACATCAAATAAATTAGTTAACCTAAGAGATTATGAGTTGGTATATGAGGCTTAGTAAACGTGCTGACCGGTGTAAATGTTTTCCCTTGTGCAATTTTCCAATAATGCTTTGTTCTCATTATGGCAAATTTCTTCTAGATTTAAATAGTGGCAAGGAAAAGTATTTGGACTAGAACTTTTCATCAGTAGTTTTGGCTTATGACATCTGAATGTCTTCCTACTTAGATGCCTATATACATCTCAAAATTGCAATTGTAATTGTAATATTATTGTTTGTAATTATAGATTTTTTATTTTTACAGAATGAAATAAAACTGAATCTTTAGAATTTAATTTTGCTCTTATCAGACTTTGTATGAATATGCAAACTTTTCTGCACATACAAAGATGTTTTGACTTTGTGGTTTTTCCCAGTTGAAGTGTGTGACATGTCCTTTACTGGAATAAGCATGCTTATTAATTTCCAAATCTAATTGCTTCTATTGTGGTTTCTTTTGTTGTTTTGGATCTTATCTGTGACAGGAACTAAATGGAAGAGTGTTGACCGTCAATAAGGCTGCTCCAAAAGGAGCACAGCCAGAACGCCCACCACGCCCACCAAGATCCTTTGGTTCTTCTTTGAGAGTCTACGTTGGCAACTTGCCATGGGATGTTGACAATGCTCGACTGGAGCAAATTTTCAGTGAACATGGTAAGGTTGAGGATGCTCGGGTGGTCTACGACAGAGAGACTGGTCGATCGCGTGGCTTTGGCTTTGTCACAATGGCCAGTGAGACTGATATGAATGATGCAATTGCTGCTCTTGATGGTCAGGTAACACACAAGTACTTTATTACTTGATCATTGGTAACATGCATTAGTAAATAAATGTGCTGAATGCTGAAGGTAACAATATATATAAGTTTGAACCATTACATGGACGACTTGTGTGGTTAGTTCTTTAGAATAAAATTCTGATAGGTGGTTCTGATATTGCAGAGCTTGGATGGGAGGGCAATCAGAGTGAATGTTGCAGAGGATAGGCCAAGACGCAGCTCCTTTTGAGTGATTACTTGTAATCTTCCATGTGCGGCTGATTGAGTTCCCTTTTAATGGTTAAGTATACAGTGTCAAATTTTTTTATCTTCTTTGGCAGTTGGTTTCAGATTAGATATGCATATTTTAATGTTATTTATTAATTTGATGTCCTGATGAAAATGATTAAAAGTTACGATTCCAACTTTAGGGATTTTGAAAGAACTCGTGATTTTTTTTCAACCATTTTGTGTGCTATGGATATTGATGCACGAAAAAAAAAAAATCGTCTTTTAAGCTTAAATCTTCTGTTAAATGATCTGGCCATTTATACGGCACGTAAAGTTCAAAGTAAAACAATAATTTGGGTTGATATCGCCTATTAAAATGGTTTCAATTGTATCACCTGACATGATTTCAATCCATTATTTCCTATACCATAAAAGAAAATGCCAATAATGCGTGTTAGTTCAAAGTTACTTCTGCTGCAAAATCTTCAAATCTACCCAACAACTTCTGCACGAGAATTTTATATGCTACTCTATCAATTAATGGCACGAGTTATTTTAAAATTGACCCGAGTATTTTTAAGACTGACTTGATGGCTGATGCCAAGGCGAGATATTTTGTCATGTCATCTATTAACTTTCTTATTAGTATGCTTACACTTTTATTGTGAAAGAAATTACTAGCACATAAGTATATATATAGACAAATACAAACATAAATCGCCCATTTATCTCCATTTGCTTGGGAAATTCTCATTTTTGATAGATCAGGAATCTCTCCTGTCTTTGGATGTTTTCTGCAGTTCTGCACCTTTCATCATATTCTTTCTCTTTCTTAATTACGGTATAATAACCAATCAACGGCTGAAATTTAGTTGAATATTGACTGCACATAAAATTGGCTGGTGAGAATTTGATTTTCCTATTTGATAGACTCTCCTTCAGAAATTGTGCATACTTGACCTAAATATATAGTTGCTTTAATATGAATTCCGTAAAAATAATCATCTTGGCAAGTAATTAAATAGTTCGGATAAAAAAAATCTCATAATGTATGTCAAGATAGTCTAATCTAATGTGTTAGTGCCACTTCTCTATAAAGATTAGAAACTATTACAAAGTGTTTTTTAGACTTTAGAGTACTTAATACCTTCTATGTCAGCCTGTTAGATTTCTTGAAAGTGGATCGTTACAAAACTCTCCTAAAAGTATCCAAACCTTCGATGATGTTAGGTTTTATGAAAGATGATCATCAGACCATCTAATGATAGAACTCATTTTGATTTCTTAAATTACTTTTTAGGGGCATCACATTGTCATATGAAATATAAGAACTGTCATCATATTTTATTCTAATGGTTGAATTTATTTTGAGTTCTTAAATTACTTTAATGGAATCCCACAATGAACTCTCATCATATTCCCTCGTTTTATGTTTTTCTTTGTTAGTTCTGTTATATATATATATATATATATAAGAACTGGGTTCTTGTAAAGAACCAGCTCTCCAGCTGGATGCCAGATTAATTCTTTCCGACATCGAACTGACCAAGAACGAGTTCCTATTTTAAAAATGGTTCGTTAGAGTTGCTCAAACAAAACTTGGCTAAAAGATCCCGGACACATGCATGATTCTTTACGAATGGAGCTTAAGAGTGATTAACACATTTAGTCTTTGAAATTTTAATTATAGGGTGATTTAATTCTTATAATTATCAAAAAGAAATTCTAGTCTTTAAAATTAACAAATGTCGATCAATTTAAGCCTTTAAAATTATATCCTGGTCAATTTAGTCATCAACATTACCACATTAGTTTATTTAGTCTTTGAATTTAATTACTTTTAGTTAAAATGCAACACATTCTTGAATGAAGTTTATTTATATTATACAAAATTCTTTCTATTAAGAGTAAAAAGAATAATATATCAAATATGTAAGGATAAAATAAGAGATGAGAAAATAAGAATAAATAAAATAATAAACACAATAGAAATAATATTTGATGAGTAAAAATTATGTCTTGCGAGCATAAATTAGTTTTTAATTATTAATTTTGAAATAATTCTTATAATTTTACAGAAGAAATATTAATAAATTTAATACAACTAACTAAATTAAATAAGTTGCTTAATTGTTATAAAGTGGTTAAAAAAACCTTCTATATATACTATAAGCATAAAAGAAATAATTTAAAAGTTTGGCACTTTAGATCATGTCAGATGGATGTACCATGATATAAATTAAGTAAAATGTAATAATACTTGTATATGTACTACTAAATATTTTATAATAATCTCAATATGATAACAATTGTCTTAAATTACCACCCTTAAGTCGGAGTTATTAACTATATATATATATATATATATTATGTTCTGTTTATTGGCCACGTTGTCTACATTTTTTTCTTCTTTTTATTGGCGTTGAGCACTTGAACTGTCAATTTAGCATA